CTGAGCCATGTCAATTCCTGTAAAGGTTCACATTTGGATTTGTGGAGGTTTTTTCCATGTTTAAAACAAATTCTTGGGTGCTATTTATAAAATTTGTGTACAATTATGGTCAGAAATGATGGATGGATGGATGGATGGATGGATGCAAGGATGCACAGATGCAAGGATGCATATATTTAGAGATGCATGAATGCAGAGATGTATGGGTGCAAGGTATCATCCTGTGCATCTGATCATATGGATGCAAGGGTGCTTGGATGAACAGGTGCATACCTGGGTGAAAGGATATATGGATGCATGTAGGCAAGGGTGGAAATAAGGATGGACCATCCCACAAGCCACCACTGGGCTGCAAAAATGCAACACCTGCATTTTTGTACAGCATCCCACAGAAGTCTAACAGTGCCTTATGTCCTCCTTGCTCCTTGGCCCAGGGATATTTTAAGCAGGTTGAGCTCACCTCAGTATCTTAAGGAGACTGAACTGGTGTATTTTGGGGTTTATTTCTGGATTTAGGCTTTTGTTCTTCACTTGCATCAAAACTCAAAAGGGAACCTAAGAAAATAGATGGCAGGTGTCCAAAATGATGCTGCAAAAAGTCTTAAAGGATGCTGCCAGGGAGGCATTTCATGACATTGCAAAGGGGTTTGTCAAAAAAATCTAGGCGTTATTTAGGATTCACTCTCGGATTCACTATTTCTTCATCAAGGAGAAATATCTTAAGGATGGGTAGGGTGGTGACAGCACTCTCTCAGTTCATCCCAGCAACAAATGTCAGCACTTTATTTCTACATGGGTCTAGAGACCCAGCTGGCTCTTGCTTTGAGCATCACTCAAGCATTCAACAGGAGTTCTGGGGGCTAAACTCCCCAGTATCCATGCCATTCCCCACAACACCTGCCAGGATCTCAAAGGAAAGACAAATTGGAGTTATTCATCCAGTTTTGCCAACTCTGAGGTGCTCCATCCTAAACAGACCCTTTTCCCCAGGACCGCCTCCACATGAGTTGTCTGGGTTTTAAAGGGTGTGTTAATTGTTCTGAATTAACAGCTCCAGATGGAGGAGCAAACAAGCAATTTGCAGCCTTAAGATAACACCCAAGTGATTTAAGTTGGGGGTTTAAAATTTTTGGTTTCAATGGGAAATCACACCTTTCTGGTTGCGAATGCACTGGCCAGAGCTTGGCTAAAATCACCCATTGATCAGGAGTGGCTGCTGGCCCACAGCCACAGGAGGAGGTGGGATGGAAGGACAAAAGGAAGAAATGAGAAGTCTCTGCATTTGGCTTCAATTTAGAAACAGGAAAAATAAAATATATCCTCATCACTGCTGGGCAACCCACTGACTGTAGGAGGGCTAAGGATTATTTTCTTCCCAACACCCCCTTTTTTTTTTTTTATTACATAGAAGTTCATAGAATCCCAGACTGGTTTGGGTTGGAAGAGAAATTAAAGACCAGCTTGTTCCCACTCCCTGCCATGGGTAGGGACACCTTCCACCAGCCCAGGTTGCTCCAAGTCCTGTCCAACCTGGTCTTGAACATTTCCAGGGATGGGGCAACCACAGCTCCTCTGGGCAACCTGTGCCAGGGCCTCCCCACACTCACAGGGAAGGATTTGCTTCTACATTTTGTTTCAAAATATTCAATCTTTAAAAAACAAAACCAACAACAACAACAACAACAACAGAACACACAACCAAAACCACAAAACAAAACAAAGGGAAAAAAAAAAGCAGTAAATTCTTTATCCCTTTGCCCTCTTTCCTCTCTTTTTCCCTTTTCTTTTTTTCATTTGCTGCTGGATAGAGGAGGGAAGGAAAGACCATGATTATTTGTTTCCAAGACTGGACCTTCAACATCGATATATAAATTTTTTTGGTTTAAATTGTTATTTTCACCATTTTAAATCCTTTCTAATCTCACCCAGGCTGTAGGATTCAAGGAGGAAACTCCACCCCTATCTCCCCACTCTTCTGGTTTTAAGAGGAGCCAGTGGTGCTGGCAGTGAAAAGGACTCCACAAGAAAAGCTTTCTATGATTACAACCAAGTGTCAGCTGCAAAAATTAATCCTGGAACCAGCACAGGTAGCAAGAAGAGTTCCCACTCAATCTGGCAGCTGACACTTGGTTGTACACTTCTGTTATTAATATCGTTACTGTTCTTTTTCTTATCTCACTGGTGTTTCCAGTAAATTGTTGTCATGTCACCCTGTGATCTTTGCCTTTTGTGTCTCCAATTCTCCTCGCCATCCTGCCACAGAGGAGCGGGAACATGGTTTGGGGAGTCTCAGCAGAAGCACTAAATGGGGGGGGACACCAGTCCTAAACCATGACAGCACCCTAGCCAAGGCTAAGTTGGGAGTCAATGTCCATCAACCCCCAACAGTTTTCCAAGAGCACCAAGGTCAGATGCCATCAGATGATGTTGTGGATGGATTCATGGTCCTCCGATAAGGTTTTCTGCTGAAGTCAGGACAGTCTGTCTTCATTTTATGGGGGAGGGGGAAAGGGTCTAACTGTGCCCTGAAGACACAAAGAAGTGACATCAAGATGCAACAATGCATCCTGCTCCAATGACAGGAGGTACCTCCAAAATCCAGATCCAACGCTGGAGGCTGTGGGACTCAGGCAGCCTTGGATGGCTGGATCCCCCGTGCCAAGCTGTGCTACCTGACCACCTCCTGGCTCACATATGAAGTAACAGGAGAAGTAATAAATCTCTTTGGCACCTTCCCTGGACACGGTAGCCCTTGATAAAAAAACCAAAACTCAAGGGAGGGAGCCTGACACCACACTATTCCCAGGGCACCCTGTTACGCAGATTAATCCTTCTTGATGGAGAATTACAATTAGGGCTCCGTCTTAAGGAGATATCAGCAATCAGATATCTTATCAAATGCCACCTCAATTATTCAAATAATCCCTGGCTCTTAGATTCGGGTGCTGTTTAGGGAAAGCAGTCCGATTAATGTGCTGACACTTCCCCATCACGTCTGACATCCTCAACTTCATGTCTGATTACGGAATTTGCATTCAATTTAATTTTTTCCATCTGGAGTAAATGAATAATCCGAGTACCTACCCCAGCCTTAATTACATTTGTTAAATTAAAAACCCAGGATGTGAGAAATTCAAATGCATGTAGCTCCATGGCCAGGCAAACCTGCACATTCAACCTGCCATAGCCCTGCCAGCTCCTTCTCCAATTTCTCTTCCTTCCCCACAGCCAGGCATCAAAGAAATTACAACTAGAAAACAAAAAATTCTTTCTAAACGACGAAACAATAGATGATCTTTTGACATTTCCAGTGCTGTTTGCAGGGAAATGAGATAAAATGTAATAAATTCATATACTTCTGTGTGTTTCTTGGCTCCAGCAGCTAAAATTTCCATCTCTTTATGCAGGAGTCCTGGGGAGCAGAAATCCTTGATAATGCCAAACAATTCGACACTTTATTTTCTCTTTACTCCAACACCACGCAAAACACAGGCTTCAAGCTGCCAGCTGCTGGGAGTGAAACCAGATGCCACATCCCTCTCCCATATGGAAACAGAACCGGCCCCGTCTGGGGGTGCGTGCGCTCCCCTCGCTCGCAGCCCTGTGACCCCGGGGCTGCTACCAGCACATGGCAAAGCCTTTCCCCAACAGCAAAAACAAACAAAAAAAACCCTTTTCAACGGTGTAATTGTAAATTTTTTACACTCAGCCTGGGTTCAGGCCAGATCCTGGGACCATCAGCCCCACAGAACGGCAGGGAAGATTTGCTCCCAGCCACCACATTTCCTAATTTTCAAATAAGAAAGGTGGAAATAAAACCACCAAACTTGACTTCTTTTTTTTTTTTTTTTTTTTTTTAAATAAAATTTGCAGAAGCTTGCTAAATTTCCCTTGTTTTGGAGAAGATGGAACTTAAAAGACCAGAATGACTAGGTGAACTCTAGGTGGTGACAAGAAAAGTGTCCAAATAATTAAAGAATAATTAAACATAAGTGGAAGATGAAGTATTACCAGCTCAGGCCATTTTAGGGGCAATACATCATAGACTGAGTGATGGGAAACGTCAAATAAATATATTTGGGTGTTGATCTAGATGTCAGCAGCAATGAAAACATTGAGGAAAGTCTTTTATTAGCACTCACAGAGACTGAATTAAATAACTTACACGTGAGTGAGTGCAACGGCAATAATCCCCAGTTTGAGGCTTGTGAGACCAGTAACAAAACATGACTAAAAACATTCAGGGAAAGCCACGCTCGGGTAAAGTGAGACAGGTGAGAGGGGAGGCAAAAATAACTTTTCCCTTGCTCCCAGCGTGCTCACAACTCAGACAACATTTCTGCATTCCCGAGAAGCTGGATTTGACTCCACATCCCCAAAAAAATTCCCTGTGGAGGGGTGCAACAGAGCATCAGAGCATCCCCCCCCCAGGCACAGTGGCAGGATTTGGCCATTCGAGCAGGCAACTTGGATGCAGTCTGACTGATCCAGGGTTCCTCACCCGTCCTGACTTCCTTCTGCTTTAACAGTTATGGTGCTGGAGGAGAAACATCATGTTTTAGCAATGAAGTCCCCAGCAAGGCTGTTTAAAGATTAATTAGTGCCATGCAATGTATTAGCGATGAATAGTAATTTTAGCTTTTGTACCTACATTGCCTTCTCCATGGTTGTTATTCCAACTTTTCCATGGTCCTCCCAGGCAACCAGTACCTAATACAGAGCACACCAAGGACACTGTTGGCCGTGTCCCCTGGAAATACCCAATTCCACAGTACACACACCCCCCAATGTGTTCTCTCTGGAGCTTTTAAATAAATTAGGGTCACTTTAGTTGAGCTGGCTGATAGGTTGGGAACCTGGCCTGCTCAGAGGTTCCAAACATCCCAAAATGGCAGTTGTCCAAGGATATGAGCCTGGCTGCACCTGCCCACAGCTCCTACGCAAGGCAGAGGTTGTGGTTTCATCCAGGATGGAGGACAGAGATGGGTGGAGATCCCCCAACCCTGAGGATGGAGAACCTTCAAGGATGGAGATAATCCCAAGAATAAAGATTCCCCCCCAAACTCAAGGAGGAATATTCCCATAACCCACAGATGGAGACAGCCCCTGCAACAACATGAATATGCCCAAGCCTCAAGAATGGAGCTGCACAAAAGACAAGGATCGATCCACCCAACCTCAAGGATGGGAATCCCCCAACCCTGCAGATGAAGATCTCTGAAACACAAGGGCGGAGACTCACAAACCTCAAGGATGGAGATCCTCCTAACCCTGAGTAATGGGATGCCCAACCCTGAGAATGCAGATCCCCAAAATCACAGCCCTGAGGACAGAGATTCCGCAGGCTCCAAGCATGGAGATACCCCAACCCAAGAACAAAGAACTTCCACAGAGAAAGAAACTCCCTCCAGCCATGAGGACAAAGACCCCCCCCCCACAACCCAAGGATGCAAACCCCATCTTCCCCAATGCCACAGAGGGCAATCACCCCCTGGGACATCAGTGGCTGGAGTCTTCACCCCACCCTGCACTGGGCAGGACATGGGGACATTACTGTGGTCACCTCCCAAACTGCAACCCCAAACGAGCCACCACTCTGCTCTTTTGGCAGCGAGTGAGGCAGTGGGGACTGAGGAACCTCGCTGTGTCGGCTGCCTTCAGGTGGCTGCGGAAGCTGAGGGGAATTGGCTGGGAACATCTGGAATATATTCATTTTATGGCATGTTTCATATCACAGACAGGTACTTTGAAGCAGTTAAGTAGTAGCAGGGCAGCACGTCCCCATGGGTGGGCTGCGGTTTGCGCTTTCAGCCCGGGCTGCCCCGGCATGACAAAGGGGCTGGGGAGATGGAGCTGGCGTTTTCCAAACACAGCTTTGTGCCTCTGGAGGCAAATCCAGCTAGAAAGGCAAAAAAAAAAAAAAAAAAAAAAAAAAAAAAAAAAAAAAAAAAAAAAAAAAAAAAAAAAAAAAAAAAAAAAAAAAAAAAAAAAAAAAAAAAAAAAAAAAAAAAAAAAAAAAAAAAAAAAAAAAAAGAGAGAGAAAAAAAAAGAAAAAATAAAAAAGAGAAAGAAACCAACCCCTGCACCTAAGTGGTGTTGATCCCCACATCAGGCTGTTAACAACCTCATCACAAATTGTAAATGACTCAGATAAATTAAATGGCTTAGCAACTGTGAGGAAAGGCCCTTATGAAGATTCATTTGTTTCATGGAAAAGAAATTAGTCGGGAATTTAAAATCTTTTCCAGTGGCTTGACACAGACACCCTGTCAAACCCACATATTGCTGCTCGTGTAGCCCTGGGAGGTAGTTGGCCCCAGAAGGAGAAGTCAGAGAATCCCAGAATGGTTTGGATTTGAAGGGATCTTAAAGATCATTTAATACCAAACCCTCTGCCATAGGCAGGGACACCTCCCATTAAACCGAATTTCTCCAAGTCTTGCCCAGTCTGGCCTCGGACATTTCCACGGATGTTTTCTGGGCAGACTGTGCCAGGGCCTCACCACTCTCACAGGGAAGAATTTCTTCCTAATATCTAAACCTGCTCTCTTTCAGTTTAGCACCATTAAAGCCCTGTGAGCATCCACAGGTGCGGGAGGCAGGCATGTTCCCATTAGTGCAGCACTAACGAGGCTGCGCCTTCTCCCAGCAAACCCATTAAAAGCGTCAACTGATGAAGAGGTTCTGAAAATGAGAAGATTTAACCCAAAACACCCCCATGCTGAGGGAAAAGTCAGCAACTGAACTGCAATTGAAAAAGAAAGGGGGGACAGCAACATGGGGCAAGGAGTTGGGCTTCCACCCCTGGGTGTAGTGAGCTGCAGTGATTTACCCGCCAAAGCAGGGAACCGCTGTTTTGCTCCCATATATAATACAAGGAATTAATGCATTAAACCTCCCTGCCTTCGCAGGCAAAGCCCAGCTCTGCATCCCCATCCCCTTTTAGTTCATGCAAAATTGAGGGGTTGTTCATCTTCAGATACTATTTTGCCAGCAGCAGCAACTCAAAACGCCCTTTAGTGCAAGTTCAGAGGTATAAAAGATGCAAAACCCCCCTAAATTATTCACATGGCATTTCAATCAAAGCCCCACTCTGGGATAAAGGGAAGGATTTGATGACCCTGGGATGTCTCCTCACCCCTGTTTGGATGAAAAAACCCTTCTTGTATATACTGCATAGAAGTCAAAGGGGAAGAGGATGAAATAAAAGGGTTTCCCTCATCCAGAAAGGGCTGGAGAGTGAGGAATGCAAGGAGCACCTATTTTTCAAGTGCATCCAAGAAGAGTATCGTGGTTGCATTTGCCCCACTGAAGCTTTTCCAAACTTTTATAGCATCAGAGGAGCAAAATTAAAGTGGGACATTGGAAGAGAAATTGCAAACCAAGGAACCCAGCAAGAAGGGATAGAAGCAATCAAAGGGGGGAAAAAAAAGGAAAATTAAGAAGAAACTCTAAAATTATTTTGCATTTCAAATATAGGAGGTTTTCAAAAAGGAAAAACCCTGGAAGATATTTTTTTCTTCCAGTTTTTCCTCTCTGTTTCATTGAGCATCCAGGTGCTGCCGAGCTGGGATTTCCATTTCTCTATCTCCATCCTGGGGCAAAACCCCAACAACCCAATGAAATAAAAAAATGAAAAAAAAAAAAACCAAAAGTAGGACACCAAGCCCTGCTCAATCCAACCTCAGCTTGATGCTCACTAATTACCCAGTAATAGTATTTATATGCTGCTGGCACACTCGGAAATGCAGCTCCTAATAACTGAGGTCGGCATCAATATTAATGTCCCGGCTTGACTCTCAATACCCGGGGACCGAAGAGAGACAAAGAAACATCACAGCAAAGTGAAAAGATGGGCAGAAAATGAATTTTAAAAGTATTTTTCTGTGTTTGGGTGGGAAGGGAGTGCTTGAGATTAAATGAGGGGATCAGCAATAGCAGCAAATATAAATTGTAAGTTCCCATCTCTGAGGCATAAAAACTTCCACCGGTGCAGAATTTTTCACCATCCACACGTCCTTCCTCAAGCTTTGAGTTTCCCCACTGGTAGGAACAGGCTGGAAAAACTCTTCTTTTCTTGTGATGGGAACAGATTTCTTAAGCTCAGGGCTTTCCCCTCACCAGAGTTACTCCAAGGCGATCGGCTTCAAATATTCATCCCTGCAAACTTCAGCCCACTTTGGGCTGCTCATGCAAAACCCCAGGCTTTGGGTTGGCTCAGCCAGAAATGTTGCTGGAAACAACCTCCTGAGAAGCACATTTTTCCCAGTGATGGCTTGAGCACATCCCCCCAGATTCACCAATATTACACTGCACACAAATGCACACAGAATATTTGCAGGGCATGGCACGGGTTGCAAACGTGCCCCAGCACCACTCCATAATTCAATTAAAAAACGTCTTTTCTTAATAATTTCTACACAGAGACACTTGGCACACCAGGAGCATTAAGACAGAGTTTAAATGGAGTTAATAAACTATTAATAGCCTGCAGTAAGGCTGTGATAGATTTGAGCTGCATGTGATCTCTGCCCCTCAGTACGAGGTGTTATTACCAATGTCCACACTCAATGTACGTTGAAAAAAATCTCACAGATCTTCCATAAAAAATGCAGTTTCACAAAATCTGATATTTCTCATTGGAAAGAAGCGTGTTTTCTGGATTTTTTCCTGAAAGCTGACAGTTCGAAAATAAGTGTGGATGAGGCGTTTTTCTTGTGTCAGGTGTGGGGTCAACCCACACTGTTGACACATCAACTTATGGTGATTAATATTGAAAGAAAATGAATGGAAGCCAAGGAATGGAAAGCAGTGGAAGTCCAAGAAGGCAACATTAGGATGTTCCCAGGTCTTTCAGTACTTTCATCTCCAAATAATTTGAGAATTTCCCTATTTTTAGTCAAATTCCAAGCAAGAAAAGGGCAAACTGTGGAAAGAACTTGAAAACAGATGTTCTGCTTCACACAATTTGAGTAGTTATTAAACAACATCAATGAGGATGGCATTGACCCTCCAGAGAAGACCCAGCTCTGTGCTGATGACTACAACAGGAAACACATCAACCTTTCAAAGAGTCAACCCTACACTGATGACTACAATGGCAACGAGTAAAGTGTTGATCCTACAGAGAAGACTCATCCCAAGTTGATAACTACATTGAGAAGAAGCAGGACTCAAGCCAACTGCCTAAAGATGCCATAAAAATCAAATGCCACTATAAAGAAGCTTCAGATACTGCAAGAAATCTCCAGAAAGCGAATAATTATAGCCCTTTTCAGCAATTTGGGTGGAAAGAGCACTCTGCAGTCATAGCCTTGGCCATCAATTCTGGTCAAATTCGAGAAGATCGTTCTAAAGACTCATTGTATGACCCAGTGGAAATGGCAATTTTTCGTATGGAAATTCTCCCAAAGCTTAAATCACCTCTTTATTAAATATTTCTTACTTACAACTTGTGGAAAGAGGCCACAAGGTCCGTTCCAAGAGGAGCAGCCAGTGAGATGAAGTCAGGGAAAAAACATGAGGATTTCCAGTCAAGAGATGGTGATTAGCACCACTGGAGGATGTACAGACAAACCCTGAAACAGGAGGGTTTTGTCTTTCTTTGTTGGGGTGATGGAAGAAGAACCATGAGAGCAAGTAATACCTTCTACCACCTTCTCCAGCTGCAGATGGTCACCACCTTTTGGGCCTGTTTCAAAAGTGCTGTT